AAGCAATTAGAAGTAAAAAAGGAATGGAATATTATCAAAATCAATTTCCAATTCGCACAAGATATATTCCAGATTTTTAGTTGAAGATTGAAATCCATTTTTGGTATAGTAAAAGTCCGAATTGAAAAAGAGTTATTTCCAACAAAGTTGAAACTTTTTGAGTTATCTTTCTAACGCATGTAAAATAAGTATATAAAACGTACTTATCAAACTCCCCCAAACTTGAACTATTGTTTATCCTCAAAACATGAGCAATTGTTGATTAATATGTTGGAATATAGTTTAATTCTATACAATTCATGTTTTGCAGGACAATATGAATGTAGCGGAAATAAGGAAAAACAAGTGAAAAATGACCAGAATAGAAGAAAGTGTAAGTTCAGATATTAAAGTGTAAATACTCAAAAATTATTTCAAGGCTCACGATGAAGGTTCGAGAGTGCTATGGGTCGATTAGATGCAATTAAAAGTCAAAAAAGAATAAAATATTATCAAAATCAATTTCCAATTCGCACAAGATATATTCCAGATTTCGGAGAAAAAAAAAGATTACGGTGGAAATGTATTCTAACGTGGAAATCCTCCGGAGATTTCTTCTTTTTTCCTTCAAACAAAAAGTTTACCCTAAAACACGCACAAAAAAACTCCAAATTTGCCAAAAATAGTAAAACAAATTATATCACGGCTCGTCTCATAAATATAGGCCCCGTTCGGTAGGGATTAAAATCCAATTAAAATTGAAAATATGACCGTTATTAGGTCCCACTCGTCTAATAAAAGTCAACAATAACGGATATTTTTTCAATTTTAATCTAATTTTAATCCCTACCGAACGGCCCCATAATCTATAAATAGTGAATTACGTATAACTGTTAAACTTTTACATCAAAATCACAAATGTGTAGACAAATTAATGTTACATAACCCAAATGGTAAAATAAGCAAAAGTGTTACAAGGTGCATCGATCGGTTTCCTATTCTTTAGGTTGATTCAAATGCCACATTTGCGTCAGGCAACCACGATGCACCATCAATGAGGGACTGTACAGTGTATTTTGAGGCCTCCGTCAGTGTAAGAGTGGGCTTATATCCAGCCCATTTAACCCTATCAGCCACACTCGATCCAGGCCCAGTATTCCGATACTCAGCATAGAAGATACTACTAGGAGGATCCACATTACTGACCCATGAAATCCAGCCCTGTGGTCTCAAGAACCCACCAATTTCAGTCTCCAAAATAACTGTTGTAGAGAAATCCTTCCAGGGCCGGCCCAAATACGTCGGGGCCGTAAGATTATCCAATGGGCTCATGGTACATCTTTGAATAGACATGCCACTGTTTTGATTAGGGTCCTTCTTGCCCTGTGCAGTAATGGTCACAAATTGGTTAGACAGTGGTTGTCTGGGCATAATGTTGCATTTTTGAAACACCACGGCCGAGTTGCCGAAGATGAAATCGATTGTACCGGTGATATCACACTCGCGGTAAAATTGCCGGTTCGAGTGTGCATAGAGGGTGTCTTGGAAACCGTCGAATGAGCATCGGTAGAACACAGACATATCAGAACCGGACCTTAGGGCAACTGCCTGATGCTTTGTTGCTCCCGCCGTGTTTTTGAACCCGATATCTCTTGCGATGAATCCTTTGCCCGCAGCAGCTGGTAATGACAAAATGTAACATTCATCAAATTTCTAGGAAATAGAATCGGAATTCAAAATTTTTAAATGTTATATCTAGAAGATGATTGCCCTCAAGTTTCCTTGTTTTGCATTGACAATTTCATCAAAATGTTTTTTTTAAGTATCAAAAGAATGAGAAATTGTCAAAGGAACAAAGAAAATTAAACTTGTCTGTACTCTATGCTGCAAAGCATTAAACTAACACGTTATGACCAATTTTGTAATCGAGATAGTGGCGCAGCAGGCCGCGTACTGCCCAATACAATCTTGATAGTGTCCAGCTTATCATTATTTTATTATATTCGCACATTCGGTTCTTTGCAAGAATTGTCAAAATTTGCACTAAACCGTCACATGTCCAACTTTATAAAACTAGGGATAGTTTCCCAACTTGGAGTTGGTTCGAAAAATTTGAAACAAGATTGTTTCCATGAAGATCACGTGAAGATTTAACTTCTAAGGAAAATTTGGACAAAATTCATGCACTTAGCCAAATGAATTATCATGATATTGACTCTGAAGAATAATAACGTAAACCTAAATTGCACATGGTGTGGGGGTCTGCATTTTGGGACAAACACACAAAAATGCACCAGTGTTTAATGCATCAGATCACACGGCAACACCAGTGTTTCCTAAATTCTGTTTCTGAGGGCCATCACCATCTTCTTAGGACCCACCCACCCCCCAAACCCGGAATTTTCACATGTCGTGTTATACACTCAATCCAAGTTTGATATAAAAGAATAAATTCTAGACAAGATTACGGGTATATCATTTGAATATCTCAACTTCAACGCTTTAAAAATAGTGTCTGCGAAACTCGAACCTAAAACCTTTGCGTGTCCCGGTACCATATTAAGCTTATGTTTGGTAAGATTAAGATTTTTTTAATCTTAGTCAGTATTTAATTTTAATCACATAGATTAGTAACTTTTTCAGTCATATAATTGATCAATTTTTAGCCCTAAACCCTAAGACCTAAAATTTTAACTTAGAAGGCCGATTTTTTATTTTTTTTAATGGACAAAAATTAAGAAAATCAGTAACAAAAATGTTGATTAAAAGAAATGTAAAAGAAAACTTACCAAATGTGGCTGTGGAGAAAGTTGGAGTACCATCGATAAAATTCAAGCTGCCGGAAATAATGGTGGCCGTCTTTCCATCGCCGTAGATCATCACATTCCACAAAGATTTATCCAAAATCACATTCTCTACATACTCACCAGCCTTAATATATATAACAAATCTTTTTTTGCTCTTCTTTGGAATCTTTGCCACCGCCTCTTTTATAGTCTTCACATCGCCGCCGTCCTTCGCCACCGTCACATCTGGTTTCGGCATCGCCGCCTGGAGGAGCCGTCGGTCACCTGCCGAAACCCATCTGGGAAACCCAGAATCCATAGTCCCCAAAAGCTTTCTATGGATAGGAATACCAAAATCTCCAAGAATTCCGAGCAGTTTCGACACAATGGCCAAGCTATTGCTGGCGTATTCAGTTGAATTCTTCATCAGCAGCTTCACATCTTCAACTATAGTCGCGTTCACTTCATCGAGAGCATCTAAGCACGTTTCTTGATCTGTAATAATCGTGCTTAGCCATGTTTTTAGATCCGCGATCTTGGGTACTGAAATCAACTTCCCTCCCTTATCCACATTCATGGTGGAAATAGAATCGTTAAGATAATCTACAGCTTCATCCAACACGACTTTACAGACTTGCAGCGCCTCTCTAACCCGTGGATCATTGGTTCTATTCATCCATTCCTCTGGGAATGTAGACAAATTCTCAAGAGAATCCATAACCACTTTTAAAGAAAACTGAAAAATCTTTTCTGGGTCAGTGGAATTTGAGGAGTCCATTGACGACAAGCTCGTGAAACACGATTCTTGATGCTGGGTCACACTGCAAACAGCTTTGATTGCAGCTGCTGAGGAAGTTGGAGTTGAAGGCACCTCATTGGAACCATTTTTGTTCTTGTTATGAACAAGGGTTCCAACTACTGCTCCAATAATCAAAACCACCAAAACTATTAATGAAATGCTGAGAATAATTAGACGCTTACGGGTTTTCCTTTTGAATGCAAGTTCTTCCTGTGGATCGACTTTGCCATAGCCCTTGAATGACTTGATTGTGTCCATTGGAACGAGCCAATTCGGGAAAATGGGATTTTCAGTATGCTTTGGAAATGGGAAAACTTCAGATAAAGAAATTGATGGATTTAGAGTTTCTGAGCCGTGTTCTGTGCCTTACTCGATGGTGGCAAGGCACTTTATATTACAGTAGAGGAAGGGGTGGGGTTTGGCGGATGAAGGTGGCATCACGCTTCTTCATTGTCTAGAACTCGAAACCGCGGTCGCTTCCACTGTATTATTAAAATAACAAACGCGCTTTTATCCTATGCCTTCCAACTTTTTCTTTCATTGCCTAGTAACTTTTTAGACAGATATTTTGATTTTACTTTCATAACTCTGTCCCAAGTAAATCGAGTACTAAGAACAATGCGTGGCATTTTGTTAGGATCTTCCATGTTGGAGAAGACTCGAGTAACTAAATAGATTGTAACATAGTAAGATAATATATAAAGTGAGAGAATAATATGAATTAATTTATAAGAAAATTTGAGATTGATTGACTAAGAAAGTGGTGGATTGACTGGATTCATCAACTATATCAAGCCAAGTAAGTACTTGGATTAGTAAGGAGGTGTCGAGTGTGCTTGAATAGCACCTGGAATGTAACTTTATGGATTCGATGAAGCAGATGGATTTAGACCTATTCGAAGTCGAGAAAATGTCAAGCATTCATTTTGATACATTAGTAGTCGAGGAAGTTATGAACTTCCAAAATTTTGCATATATACACAGACTTACACATTCCCCTTCAAGTAGAAGTTCTTAAAGTGATCAGGGTTAGAGGAATATTTCACTTCACGAATGATAACGAAGGATTCTAAGGAACGTGAAGTGTAGTTATTATTTTGGTCAATGTTTTTATTTCATTGTACTCTCGTCTTCAAGAGGGACAAGATTTTTGTTATATTTTATTTTTATCTCTAACGTCGCACGTCTCTAACATAATTATTTAGTCTGACCTTTTCTTCGGAGATTAATTATACTACACAAAAGAGTATCGTCTACTTCATAATTGAAAGCAATGGTACACTTAGTACTTGGCTGCAATTAAATATCCATTTACGCGTCAAATAGTTGAAGTAAAATCACCATTTGGCAGTGAGAACAACACACCGTCCCCACCCCTTCAAATTGATAAAATTCTCAACAAAAAGGAATCTTTTGTGAACTGTCATCATGTCAAACGGACGGCTCTATATCATAGTTCACATTAGGAATTTTTATTTTTATTTTTAATTCAAAAATCATATTTTTATTTGATACGAGGGTATACTGAAATAAATAAATTAATTAACATCTTATTCAATACGATTCTTAATCATACCTACTACTATGTACAAAACGTGCACAAAATACCTCAAATTTCGAGCCAATTTGTGACATATTTCACCAAGTAATGGTTTCACCATATCATTTTTCACATTCAAATCACTATAGGACTGGATTTTATTTTTTCGTTGTCTTTTACTCTCCAACTTAGAGGATATGCCGATTTAATGGTGCGTATTATCCTGATTCTCCCATCTATCTCAAAGTTCGATACTATGAAGAAAATTATTTATCGATGCTGCTATATATATATTCGGCACATCTCTTGGTGTTCACTTGAGTGTATTTTTCGTTTAAGTTATGATGCGAACTTCTTTTTCTTTAAATAGATGATCACGAGACTAAAAATTAAACCATATGTTGTTTTAAATGTTTTCAATAACTATCGCATTTTGCGGTAAAAATCACATACCATGACATATTAAAGTATTGAAGTTTCGGATTGCTAACTATATGTATTTGAATTGAGTCGAGATGTAAATATTTATTTTTATTATTTTGATATAGTTCAAACAATGACCAAATTAGAAAATAATCAAATGTTATTTTTACAATTAAAAAATAATGTAATGATAAGATGTGATTATGATTGGATTCACACTGCCTTGCATGTTTGAGTGCAACCCGTCTCTGATTGCGCCTCTCCACTTGGAAGATGTTGAATAATTTCCATATGCAGCCATTGAACTTTTAGTGAAATCTCAATTAAGCCCTTATTTGACAACCATTATTTGAAAATGACATTGCTTTACATAATGGGTTATGTAATACAATGTGTCATTCTATCATTTGTCAGTTTAAAAACAGTCAATTTTTTCATCCGATCTTTTCAATTCACATCATTTTATATAATCTTTTATGTATCATTTTCATGTACAAAAAGCATAATCTTATTTGAAAACTCTTTTTTCTATATTCTCATTTTTAACAACACAAATCACTATTCAAAATATTGTTTTTGAGAAAAAAAAATAGCAAACTAATAGGGGCTAAGTCACTAAATTTATCTCAATTGATCTATTAAACCTCGATTGAATATCAAATTTCTTCACTATATCGCTAAAAATATTGTTTTTGAGAAAAAAAAAAAAGACCAACTAATAGGGGCTAAGTCACTAAATTTATCTCAATTGATCTATTAAACTTCGATTGAATTTCAAATTTCATCACTCTATCGCGTTTCGCCACCCATTGTCCTCAAAACTAACAAACATTATTTAGCCTCGACTTGGTTTTACTAGTAAATATAAATAAAAGTTGATAAAATGTGTGGTTGAAAATTTGATAAAAGTTATAGATATCGTAAAATATGTGATTAAAATTAATTGATGACTTTAAATGAAACCGTTTATCTAAATCAAATAGGGGCTTAATTGGTTGCCGTAATATAGTTGATATTCAACACCACGAAAACAAAATAGTAACAATGAAAGCCATGACAGTGCCTTTATATTAAAAGTTGAAAAAAGTTATTGACCCAACTGAAACTAAATGAAAGTTCAATGACTCAATTGAAGCTAGTTAAAGTTTAATAACTCGATTGAAATTTTATTTAGTGACCGGAATTTTTTTTTTTTTTTTTTCTTTTTTAAGGGAGATAAGATTATTGCAATTTCATCGATGTGCCCGTCACGCATAGGTAGATAAATTAATTCAGGCCACCGTTTCATGGCCATAATTTTGAGAAAATTGAATTTTGATTTTTGAATAATAATTTTGTTGGATAATACGTGATTAAAAAGTAGATAAATTTTTTTTATTTACGTTAAAAATATTTTATTGTGCTAATGTGTAGTTGAAAATTAGTATGAAAATTAAAAATTTCTGAAATAATAGTTGTCAAACAGTGACAACTTTGTCTCATATACTCACCAGTCTTTAAATATGTTTCTGTTTCTGTTTATATGTTTATGTTGTGTGTATTGTTTTTATATTTGTAAATTCTGCATTCATTCTAAAGATTTTAGAGGCTTAAAACATTTAGGACTTATTTAGAGCCCCCATTTTGAAATAGTAGATTAATAGAGGATGTGTGGTTAAAAAATAAGAATTTTTTTAACATTTACGTTTAATATTATTTTATTAAAAAATATGTGGTGAAAAAAATGTATTTTATAAATATTTAGGTTCAAACAAGGGCTTAAGTGTATTCAAATGAAACTTTTTATGACTTCATAAAAGTTTCGAAGTATGCAGATTTTTGTAGATTTTTAAAAGTTTTATAAATTAACGAGATATTAAGCCCTTGTTTGAGCCATATTTTTGGCTCAAAATGCATATTTTGTTGGAAAATGTGTGATTAAAAAAAGAAATTTTATTGTGTTTACGTGTAAAAATTATTTTATGGAAGAATGTGTGAATGAATATGAGTTTTGAAAAAATGAGGGTGCGATTGGTTTTCTCTTTTCAAATCGCTTTTTATTTTCAATTTTATCAAAACACTAAAAATGTGTTTGGTCTAATATTTCTAACAATGTATTTTCGACAACGAGGATAAATGTATAATATAAAACTAAAAACATATTTTTTTACGTTTTGAGGTTTTCAATGAAAATTTTGAAAACACTCAAAACAAGCATTTAAATAAAATATAATTATATAAATATACAAAATTTTAACAAATGAAAATTTAAAATTACAAAAAAAAAATTCAAAAAAAAAATCTAAAATTCTAAAAAAACAAATCCTAAACAATAAAAAAAAAAATTCAAAAAAAAAAATGTTTGAAGTCCACATCATTAGTTTTCATTTTTATTTCCTATATTTTAAAACTAATTTTAAATTTTAGCGAGAAAAAAATATTATAAACTTCGCTAACTTTAAAATGTATATAAATCTTGATAATGTATTAATAAACAAACGTTTTATTTTTACTGAATAATCAAATTTAATGAAATAAAATAAAATATCATAAAACAACTTTTTAAAATTTCAAACTTTGCGTTTTTTAATTTTAGTTTTGAAAAATTATTTTTGAAAATGACAAACCAAACTCGTTTTTGAAAATCTTAAAACATATATTAAACGCATAAAATAAAAAAATGAACTGAAAATTTAAAATCGAAATGCAAATCAGACGAACATGAGTTTTGAAAAAATGGGAGCCAAACATAAGCTAAGAGTTTATTTGAGCCCAATTTGTTGGAGAAATAAATTTTATAATAGTTTTCTTTTTGAAATGTGAGGTTAAAAAGTAGGAAAAAATTTGACTTTTGTAAAATTATTTTATTGAAAGAATGTGCGATTAAAAAGGAGTACGAGAAAAAACCTTATTTTTAAAAAATGAGACTCAATCAATCCTTTTTTAGAAATCTTTAAAAAGTCGTGTCATTGAAAATGTCAATTACTTTTAGCAATTTTTACAAAATCCGTACGAAGTTTTAAGTAAAAAAATATCATAAATAGTCTCTTATTCACCCTTAAGATTTTAAAAAACTTTCACAGAAAAATGTATTTTCACGAGTAATTTTTTTTTTCAGCTTTCTTTCAACAAGCCATAACAAAATAAATAAATATATTTTTCTCTTCTCAACCTATTATTGCTATCATTCCCTTTTTAACGTTCTCATTCTTTTTTCCTTTTCTCTTTTCATCATTTTCTCCCTTTTCTATAGAAAAAATATCAATTTGTAAATAAAAAAATTTATTTTCATTATTATTTTCATGGTTCCCTCCAA